ATTGGGCAAACCCAGTGGGACTCATGATTTAGCCATACTGATTGCACCCCTTGAACCCCTAAAGAATCTAAAGTGTGAAACACTTTGGGATTCTGCACCCCCTTCCTGATATATATATATATATATATATATATATATATATATATATATAGTTGTGTTCAAAATAATAGCAGTGTGTTGAAAAAAGTGAATAAAGCTCAAAATCCTTCTAATAGCTTTTATTTCCATACACACAAATGCATTGGGAACACTAACACATTCTATTCCAAATCAAAACATGAAGAAAAATATATCAAATTTGTGTTGTTCCTCTAAAAAAATTTAGGAAATGTGAATATTAGACTGTTCAAAAAAATAGCAGTGTTTGTATTCTTCTTTACAAACTCAAACATTCACTATATAAACTGGAAAATGTTTGAAGATTTTGCTTTCCTTTGAATCACTTAATGAATATTTCGTTGTATAAGCACTGTTTCTGAGAACTGCTGTACATCTGTGCTGCATGGAGTCACCCAACTTCTGGCACCTGTGAACAGGTATTCCAGCCCAGGATGATTGGACTACATTCCACAGTTCTTCTCTATTTCTTGGTTTTGCCTCAGAAACTGCATTTTTGATGTCACCCCACAAGTTTTCTATTGGATTAAGATCCGGGGATTGGGCTGGCCACTCCATAACGTCAATCTTGTTGGTCTGGAACCAAGATGTTGCACATTTACTGGTGTGTTTGGGGTCGTTGTCTTGTTGGAACACCCATTTCAAGGACATTTCCTCTTCAGCATAAGGCAGCATGACCTCTTCAAGTATTCTGATGTATTCAAACTGATCCATGATCCCTGGTATGCGATAAATAGGCCCAACACCGTAGTATGAGAAACATCCCCATATCATGATGCTTGCACCACCATGCTTTACTGTCTTCACAGTGTACTGTGGCTTGAATTCAGTGTTTGGGGGTCGTCTGACAAACTGTCTCCGGCCACTAGACCCAAAAAGAACAATCTTACTTTCATCAGTCCACAAAATGTTGCGCCATTTCTCTTTAGGCCAGTCAATGTGCTCTTTGGCAAATTGTAACCTCATAAGCACATGTCTTTTTTTCAACAGTGGGACTTTGCGGGGGCTTCTTGCAGATAGCTTGGCTTCACATAGGCGTCTTCTAATTGTAACAATACTCACAGGGAACTTTAGACCTTCTTTTGATCTTCCTGGGGCTGATTGTTGGCCCTTGAGTCCATTTTGGCTATTCTTCTATCCATTCGAATGGTAGTTTTTTTTTTGGTAGTTTTTTGCTTTCTTCCATGTCTTTCAGGTTTTGGTTGCCATTTTAAAGCATTTGCGATCATTTTAGCTGAGCAGCCTATCATTTTCTGCACTTCTTTATATGTTTTCCCCTCTCCAATCAACTTTTTAATCAAGGTATGCTGTTTTTCTGAACAATGTCTGGAACGACCCATTTTCCTCAGAATTTCAGAGAGAAATGCACTGTAACCAGCATGTACAACATTTGCTGCCTTCCTTCCTTAAATAAGAGCAATAATTGCCACTTGTTTTTCAAAGAATAAATGACCTCACTAATAGAACTCCACACTGTTATTATTTTGAACATGCCCCTTTCAATTAATGATTCAATTACACAGAATCAGCAGCATGCATGTCATGACTGTTGGGTCTTTTGGATTTCTATTATTCTACTACACCTGCTAGTAAATTATTTGTCATGTAGAAATATCATTTCTACCAAAAACAGTGATTGATCAGGTTAGTGATGTCTGACTGCTATTATTTTGAACACAACTGTGTATATATATACTTATGGTTTATGTGACATTATGAAATGTTATATGGAGGTGGGGTGGTGCTTTCATGGGGGATCTTGCATAACATCCATATGGTCTATCTTTATATTTACATTTGTGTGTTTTTTTTTCGGGGGATTTGTTTCCCTGCCATACTTTTTACATGAAATTTTCTAATAAAATTTGATGTTTTTATAGTACAAACATTTGTTTGACCTGTTCTGAAGGAAGGTATCAGCACCATTAAAATCCAGTTTCTTTTCTTTTCTCTTTATCATGTTTATTATTTTAGGGATATGGTGACTGAATAAACTAACTGGACCTACTATCTCTACTAACCAGAAGAGGAATAGTGAGAAAGTGTGCCTTTGGGGACACTAGTTCAGGTGACAACCAGAGATTCCCACTTTGGAGGCTTTTCCTCACCCTTTCCTCCCTTTTCAAGAAATGAATGGAAATCTTCCCCAATGGGACAAAATAATGACAGGGGTTATAACCTTCCCTTATTCTGTCCAAAATAAAAATAAAAGGCTTGCCTTTAGTTCTTTTTTAAAGCAGTAGTAAAGTCTGCTTTATGACTTGTACCTAATGGTAAACCTATAATAAGGTTTACCTGTAGGTACAGTGAATCTCTCCTAAATGTGTACCATTTAGGTGATATCACATTTGTAGAGGCTGGTGACACCACTGCACTGTGGACTGTGCTCTGAATGGACGGCATATTGAGTATGCTGTCCATTGAGAGTGTTGTGATGCAACTGTGATGTCATCACATCACGATTACGTGATCACAGCCCAGCTATTCAAATGGCCAGAGCCCACGAACGCCAAGGTAAGACCGAGTGAAGATTGAAGCGCCAATAGCTGTGACAGTGCACCGTTGGAGGGCTTTGTTTTACGGTAGGTCTGTCATAATGTGCTAGTATGCAGTACAAACTAACATATTGTGGCTAAACCCCTTGACGCCGACATAACACAAATATGCGGCCTCACAGAACTGGATTTTTTTCCGTGGGGCCGCATATTTGCGTACCTGTCTTTCTGTTGCAGCACAAAGACCGCGGTGTAACTGAGAGCACTGGGTCCCATTCCAACTATTGGGATCCGGGACTCCCGATTCCGGGTCACATGATCACTGTGATAGCCTCTGATTAGTACAGTCACTGTACAGCCTAGCCCCTTCATTGTTTTTTTCTCTCTAAGAATGGAGGAGAGAGATACATTCTATCTCTCTAACTCCAGGCATAGAGGGGGGGAAAAAATGTTTGTAAAAAAAAAAAAGATAATTAAATAAATATTAAAAAATAAAATAAAAAATACCTAGATCAAGGTTTGATCTAGTTCAGTGCCAGTGTAAGTGTTTGGGTCAATGTCAGGGTCAAAGGTCAGGATTTAAAAAAAAAAAATTGATGTTAGTGTCAGTGTGTTTAGGTAAGAACAAACAAAAACAAAATGCGCACTATTGTTTCTGGGCTGTACTACGGGTACAAACAACAAATAACATACACATATATGGTATTGCTGTGATCGTCAAGAGCTGCAGAATTTATTTTGAGTTGTTCTTTGGTAGGTTATGGTAGTAACAAGAAACACACAGCTAAAAATAAAACAAAAATTTTTTTTCTATTTTGGGCCAGTTTTCCTTTGATAATAGGAAAAAAATCAGGAGATATCCATTACCACTTACTACTAAATGAAAGCCCAATTTGTCCTGAAAAAAACAAGGTACAATTCACCTGGATGTACAAAATAGCTGTGATGATATGTACGGTTTTACTAACACATGTCAACGTTGCAAATATGTGCTTAGGCATTTAGATTTGTTTAACCCTTAGGCATGAAGGGGTTAAACCACCCAGGGGCCACATTTTTTCTTTTTTGGACTTTGCTACTGTTTTAATATAATGTTCTGTCATTATGTAACGCAGTGTCTGGATACAGTAACTAAACACAGGAAACAATGAGGAAGTCCACTGAGGTCAGAAGACTTGGTGCGTTTTTTATGAACCTTTTAGGATTGGCACTCCCTGCTCATTCAGAGAAGAGTGATATCATGGGAGAGGTGAGCCCAGCACAGTGTTGCTTCCTCTGCTGCATCCGTGTAGATGAAAACAGTTTCCAGGGACGCTGTGAAGGCCACCACGTGAGAAAAAACTGCTATGGATGTCAAATAAAAAAGTGCAGAACAGATAATTTCTCTTGATTAAAGTAAAGACTTATTTAATAAAAGTGCAGCAGTGCCTTGCCTTAAAAAATAATGACGCACAGCCCTGAGCATACTTTCAGGTGGATTCAGAAGGTTCCCCTAAAAGGTTTTTTTTGTTTCATTATTGATCTGGTCTTATGGCTTTTCTTTAATCTAAATCCCTGTGGTAGCCAGCATCCTTATTTTATGGATTCTACAAAAATTCAGGTCATTGTATTCACTGGTGCAAGCTCCACCATCTCTCTAAATTCATTGCAGTGTCAGCCTCCTGCTCAAGGCTATAGTATATAAATGGAGCCTATAATCACACAATTGTTGGCTCCCAAAGGAACCCCTCTCTGCTAAGACCACTTTATCACAGAACATTACTTTTTATTGGTCTTAAAGGGTTAGTTCACCTTTGCCAAAAACTGCCTATGTAGGTAAGGGGTGTCTGTATAAAAAACAAACTGCAGCTTTGACTAAAGTTTAACCACAAGCCTACAGGGCACTTATACCCCCTTCCTGCCCAGGCCAATTTCCAGCTTTCAGCGCTGTTGCACTTTGAATGACAATTGAGCGGTCATGCAACACTGCACCCATATGACATTTTTATCATTTTATTGTGACAGATAGAGCTTTATTTTGGTGGTATTTAACCAACTCTGGGTTTTTAATTTTTTCTTAAACAAACCAAAAACCAATGAAAATTTTGAAAAAAAAAAAGTTTTTTCTTAGTTTTTGTTATAAACTTTTGTAAATAAGTGATTTTTCTCCTTCACTGATGTGCGCTAATGAGGCTGCAGTGATGGGCACTGATAGGCTGCACTGATGGACATTGATAGGTGGCACTGATGGGCACAGATGAGGAGGCACTGGTAGGTGGCACTGATGGGCATTGGCAGGCATCACTGATGGGCACTGAAAGGCAGCACTGATAGGCGGCACTGACTGGCACTGATATGCGGCACTGACTGGCACTAATAGGCGGCACTGACTGGCACTGTTAGGTGGCACTGACTGGCACTGAGAGGCGGCACTGATGCGCACTGATAGGCGGCACTGATTGGCAGCACTGATAGGTGGCACTGATTGGCATTAATAGGTGGCACTGATATGTGGCATTCATGTGCACTGGTAGGCACTGATATGTGGCATTGATGTGGCACTGATGGGCACTGGCACGTGGCACTGATGAGCACTGACAGCTGGCACTGATAGACACTGACAGGTGGCACTGCTGGGGCTACACTGATCATCAGGGCACACTGATCATCAGTGCTCTGATGATCAGTGTACATATCCCCTCCGCGGAAGCTGTCAGCGTGATAGCTCGAGAGGAGAGAAATGCCGATAACCGGCATTTCCCTGTTTACATGTGATCAGCTGTGATTGGACCCAGCTGATCACATGACCAAGCCGACATCTTTGGCTCTTTCCGTGGATCGGTGATCCGCTGTGTCCAAGGGACACAGCGCATCTCTGATTGCCGCGCTTCGGGAGCCGCGCATGCGCGGTTAGAATGGGAGGACGTCATATGATGTCCTACCAGAACAAGAGAACCACCTTGCGTCCATCATATTACTATATGGCAGGTGGGAGGTGGTTAATAAAGCCCTTGCTATAGGTGTAGGCTGTTTACATACCTCCCAAAGCCTGACTGGAATACTCCCATGACGTTGCTAAGAGAAAGCTAGTCATTACTGTTCACCTCCATCACATGAGTGAGTTCTTCCTCTGATTCAAATGCCCTCACGTGCTTTTTCTCTCCCTTGATGAAGTAGCTTTGAACTTAATGCATGAAAACTCAATCCTGTGATGGTGGAGGTGAGCAGTAATGACTAGGCTTCTCTTAGCAATGTCCTAGCAACATCCTATGAGTGTTCCAGTCAGGCTTCAGGAAGTACATAAATGGCCTACACCAGTGGCATAACTAGAATCTTCAGGGCCCCCGTTCAAGAAACCATGAAGGGCCCCCTTGATCCTCAGCCAGGGCCCTTCCCTCCGAGTCCAGTGGCGGAATGTCAGGGCCTGGTTACAAGTGCGACCTTTGTGACCCTGGTAGTTCTTCCACTGGTGTCAGTAGTTTTTTTATTTTTATTTTTTTACTATATTTTTTACAATTATTTTTTACAATTTTTCTGAAAGGTAATATCATAATGTGCTAGTTTGCATTGTATACTAGCACATTATGTGAAACTTACCTTAAAATGATCTCTGCAGCACCACTGACAGGGCTTCCATCTTCACCTGTTTTTCTTCCGTGTTCCTGGGATGCAGCCGATTGAATGGCTGAGCAACCAATGCACATGTACTTGGAAGTTTCGGCCACGGCACAGAGCTCTGAAAGAACGGCACAAGTATGCCGTCCCTTCAGAGCACATGCACCGGTGATGTCACTGGCCACAGTTCTGTAGAATATCTAACGGTGCATGTTTAGAAGATATTAATTTTACCTACAGGTAAGCTTCATTATGAAGTCTGTTTCTGATTGTTTGGTCAGAGACATTCACACCAGTGGCCTGCTGGAGGTCATTTGTAGGGCTCTGGCAGTGCTCATCCTGTTCCTCCTTGCACAAAGGAGCAGATACGGTCCTGTTGATGGGTTAAGGACATTCTACGGGCCTGTCCAGCTCTCCTAGAGTAATTACCTGTCTCCTGGAATCTCCTCCATGCTCTGTGGCTGGCAGACCACAGAAAACCTTCTGTGCCATCCTGGAGGAGTTGGACTGCCTGTGCAACCTCTGGAGGGTCCAGGTATCGCCTCATGCTACCAGTAGTGATACTGACCCTAACCAAATGCAAAAACTAGTGAAAAACAGTCAGAAAAGATAGAGAATGAAAAAAATGTCAGTGGCCTCCAACTTGTAAAAAACCATTCCTGTTTTGGGGGTTGTTGTTTCATTGTTGCCCATCTAGTGCACGTGTGTTAATCTCATTAACACCAAAGCGGCTGAAACTGATTAACAACCCCCTCTGCTACTTAATCTGACCAGATTAATATCCCAGGAGTTTAATTGACTTGATGTGTAAGAGGTATAGAAAATAGGCAGCCCCATACAATTTAAATCAAAGCCTAATACGTAATATAACAGTCTTTGTCAATGCATTTTTTATTGTACCATCACAAGAGGGCGAACTACTTCCTGTGATAATAGAAAGACACAGAAGTGGGAACCAAAAGTCTAACACTTTGTTTCCTTACAGGACAGTGATTACAGTGAACATATCCAGTCACATGTAATTAAGGGTTTTCTGTGTTTGTTCAGGTAAGCAGGAGGCTGTTTAACATGATAAATAGGACAAAATGACTTAACATGTGCCCTGGTGGTCAGTAAATGATGCTGTTACTATTATGCAATCAGATTACTTGTAGCATAAATGTGAATATAGAATTGCCAGCTATGTGATGTGGCGCTAAGATACAGGGAATGTGATTTCTCTATTGTAATACCCTATTGTTATGCTGAATAGGTCACTAGCATATCTGCAGAGGTCTAGATATTCAGTATTGCAATTAAAGATGTTTATTCAAGGTATATGGAAATACTTATTAATGTATATGGAAATATTTTATAATGATATACAGGACAGTGATTACAGTGAACATATCCAAGTCTCACATGTAATTAGGGTTTTCTCTGTGTTTGTTACAGCCCATTCTAATAAAACACTTCTGGTTTCACCTGACCCATCCTTCGCACAGTGTTGAATTATTTACCGTATGTGCAACAAAATTGGCGCACAAACGTGGGCCGGGCGCCGGTGAAAGGGAACGCCAAAAGAGATCCGGACGTAGAAAAGGACATGCGGTAACTACACTGTCCCATGGTGAATCGGTTACAGGGGGGGGGGGGGGGGTAAAAATCAATTAGGAGTATGGAATATTGCGAAAGTTGCAAGATGAAATCAGTGTAAGGGCACCTGAGATTTCACAATGACAGTTCGATGAACACATGGAGACTTGCCAGTTTCCTAAAGGAGCTCGCAACATAGCAAGTATGGCAAAAAAGGTAAAATATAACCCAGCGCCATATACTGGGTGGACATTGGAATGAGTTTTAGGATGAAATGGGTAGAGAATGAAAAGTGAAGAAGTGGTGAGACACAATTTACTTGCAGGCAAAACTAAGAAAGTTCATTGGTGAGTTAAGAGAGAGATAAGAACATGGAAGCACCAAGCGATGGAGGCAAAGACCCTCAAGCAGAACAACAGTTAAAGGATTTAAAACGGGCGATACTGACAGTATCCAGGAAAAAACTTCAAGAAACGGCCAAGATGATTAGAGGGACAAGATGACAGAACTTAGCACCTAAAGACAAAAGACTCAAAAGGAAGTCCTAGCACATCAAGTCCCAAATATCTAGTTGCTCCAGAGACTTTACCCATACTAACTTGCCAGAAAGTGACAATCAGAAAGGATCTTATTAAAAATTAGCTGGTCAGATATGTGAAACGGAAACAGAAAGAATAAGCTGTGCCCTATACTAACCTCATGCACCAGACTGGGGACATGGGAATGCAAATGGGATATCCCAGAGTCAGAGCGATGTGGAAGCTGTGAGTGAAAGCCATAAGTCCTGGGTCATGTCTCAGAGTGGCATGCTAGAGCTGAAGAGTGGACTTTTTGGACCCTGAGTATGCCACTCAAGAGTATCCTAAAAAGCCATTATAAAGAGAAAATAATGCTTTCCGAACTATAACCAACAATATGATCAATATATCACAGAATAGTTTAGAGACTTCCCCAAGAACTTCCTATTTAGGGCCATTGCTACTTGATGAACGGTTTGCTGTACGTTTCCAAGGGGGAAGGTTAAGATTAACACTTCGGGGCACTGAATTTAATTACAAAAGAAATTCTTAAGGTCAGTGGGCACCTGGGAACTGGAGAAGTGACCATATCAAGTTCCAACTAAAAACCAACACTTGGAATCTATCCTACAGTCCCTCAGATGAGTTGCTCTTAGAGAAGATAAATGAGCTTACACATATGGAGATGGAGAATGGGGAGCAGGAAACAAAAGTAATCTGAGCACAAGCGTAACCTGACGAAAGGGAAGAGTGTTGCCAGGCCAACATCTCCATTGATATCTCAGGTACCCAAGGCATCCAGCCCTTGTGTGCGTCCATAACCAAAACAAGTAGTCTGGCAATGCCAACAGCCTTCAAAGAGGTAACTCTTGACCTTGAAAAGATAGTAATACAGTTACAACAAGAAATATTGGATATGAAAACACGTCTCCTAGGTTCGGGTCAGAACTCGACAACAGCACTGGCTTTGGAGGACCTAGAACAAACTGTTGGACGAAGGGACAGGGACTTGTCAATCTTGTGGACAAGACATGATACAGAGAACTGCATGTGGACCATTGCTTTAACTGTGGTCGTGCTTGGACAAAGGGCGAGACAATGCAGGAGGCGGCCAAAACAAAAATCAGAATTTAACGGGAGAAGGTTGCTGTTAAGGGACCGACTGTAAACCTGTGCCAGAAACCATAACCTGCGTCCCAAAGTGCATATCATGTCAGTAGTAAGAAACCAGTCACAACCTACCCCTCAGAGCCCTGGGCTGGAAAGTTAAACGCAAGATACTGGAGGAAAACCGCCAAACCTGCCCTGCTCAAAGACTATCCCCCGACAGCTGAAAAAATTGCCAACCAATGTGAATGGCCATCACTTTGAAAAAACACAACAAGCTACTGGATCTTATTGGGAAGAGATGCTTGTGTACTGTGAAATAGGGGACCACACTCTTGTCCAGGAGTTTTTATGGGATTACTGGATCTCAGGCGTTAGCATTTATCAATGAGGGCTGGGAGACAGCGAGTACTGCCACACACTGTGTCTCCGATTCGTTTATGCAGCACTCGACAAGGGACCAAGGGTACTCCAAGGGAAAAGCAGCAAATGAGTCAGAGATTCCGTATTCTCCGGTTGGATTTGAGGTAACCCTCTCTCAGCTTACATCGAGCAGTAATACTACCAAAACAGGTTATTTGTACCACTTATAGTCTCTGAGGATGAAGAAAGTGGCTGAGAATCCAATTATCCCCGGACTATTATATAAATTGAAAGAAACATTCAAAGAGACAGATTGTTGATGGGAAAGAAAGTTATCCCAGGTTTTGTTGGAACATATTATGTAACAACTTTGGAACGCCAACCCCCAAAGCAGAAGTCCTTGTAAGCTTACATACATGCCAACTGTAGGGAATCCAGTGGTGCTATTGTAAAGAAGGACTGGTACTAAGAACCAAAGAATCCCTGCAATAACTGTAACAATTACATTCGTGTAGAATGCTAACAGCCAAACCGTCCTTGCAGGCTCAGACAGGTTTGTTTACTCCGAGTGAGGCTTATCACCCTGCCGGATGGACTGCATATTGGTGAGACAAACTTGTCTCATTTCACAAGAGGAACAATTCATTCCAAACTGACCATTCCAGTTTGGAATACATACTAAACGGGACATTGTAGTTCACCAGGTCAACACAAATAT